GTCTCGGGCCATCGAGAAAGCCATTGAGAGTTGTAAACGTCATCTGCTTTAGCTCTGGCCCCGTGCTGCAGAGCTCGGGCGGTGCCTGATGCAGCTCACCCAGAGGCGGACCTTGGGAAAAGAGTGCCCTGGTGATTCATCTGAAACTGCTCAGTGAGTTAGCACAGCTGGCAGTGGAGACTGTGAGGGTGAAGAGAAACTGCTCATTGGCAGTTCCCCCACCTCTAGTAGTGTCCAGGGCACGTGCCATCCCCTCTGTGTACCCTCGAGATACCTCTGAGTGTCCCTGTAACTAGGCAGGACGGCATGTTAAACAGGTGGTCTCCGCTGGGATCACAGCAACACCAGCTCATGGAGAGCCAGGGTGAGCTTTCAAAGAGAAGAGCCCAGATACGCATCCCATAAAACGCCGTCTCTCTGCAGCTGGAGTCGAGTTTCGCCATTTGGGCCACAGCACTTATGTCACTGAAGCGTATGGCATTTCAGGTGGGCGGGGAAGAAACTGTGCAGGGGGCCTCAAAGAGGAGCCACACGCATGCGCCCGATGAAGGACTGACCTTCCTGTAAGTCTCCGTAGGCTAGAAGAGGGTTGGCAAATTTTTGAGACAGAAGAGCCAATCCTGTTCCTTACAACCATTTAAAATTTTTTTGAGAGCTAGAAAGATATTTTAACAAACACATGCAATCACCATTATCTGAATAATAGACTTTGAAGTTTTACAATTTTACTTCAGAGTCATGTATTGCCGACCCATAGACTACATCATTCAGGAGTTCCAATATTTGGAGTGTGAAATGCGCTTCCTCTAACTTCCCAAACTTCCCCTTCTAGAACTCCTTTGTTATATTAAAATAATTCCCTGGAGAGTATTTTAAATTGATTACTGATATCGTAGGAGGACAGAAACAGGGGCATACTCAGTCAAGACTCTTTGCAGAGATGAAGAAAATTAGGTCCACAGAGACCCCCATCTTGAGTTGGGTGGAAGTGAACAAGCCTAGAATCCTGGGTTGTGCTCTCCCTGTGGCCAGCTGCTGCTTACTTCCAGCAGCATTTGTAGTGTTCATCTTATCACAAATTGGGGCATGAAAATCTCTTCACCCTTAATGAAGGCATTTAAGGCTTGAAGCAGAAGACAAGGAAGAACAACTTTCCAAAATGACTGTAAAATCAGGGTTATTGTTGGTGAGCTGTCTGTAGAGTGAGTTCCAACTCCTGGTGACCCTGTGGACAACAGAACCATACATTGGCTGGTCCGGCATCTTCCCTGTCATAGCTTCAGCTGAGCCCATTGGTACAGCCACTGTGCCAATCCATCCTCCTCTCTTTCACAGACCCACTACTTTACCAGGCATTGTGTCCTTTCCTAAGGACTGATCTTCCCTGATAACATGTCCAAAGTATGTCAGACTACATCTCACTGTCCTTATGCCGAAGGACCATTCTGGTTGCATTTCTTCAAGACAGATAGCTTTGTTCTGGCAGTCCACCACACTTTCAATATTCGTGGCCAGCACCATCATTCAAGTGCATCAATTCTTCTTCAGTGTCCTCAGGCATAGTCCAATGTTTATACCCGTATAAAGTGATTGCATCGGCCCGGGCTCACTTTCGTCCTCCCTGGACGATGAAGATGACTTTTAACATGTGTCCTCAATTTTAGCTTGAAAATGCATCAGGAAACTGGTTTTGACCAATGGTTTTAGTTGGGTTTTGTAAAAGTTTAACTCTGAAACAATGAGTAAGAGCCTAAATTATGCTTCTTCAGTCAATCCCAGTTGCCATCAAGTCAACTCCATCTCATCGTGACACCACGTGGCTCAGAATTATGCTCCATCGGTTTCCAATGGCTGATTTGGGGAGGCAGATCACCAGGGCTTTCTTCCATGCTATCTCTGGGTAGACTTGAACCTCCAACATTTCCGTTAGAAGCTGAGCTATTTGTTCCACCTATAGACTTCTCCAGCCAGTGCCTATGGATGTCGGCTGAGGACATTTTCCCCTTGGTAACAATTTCTTTAGAGAACTGCACTCATGTAGCTGGCATTTTCTGGGTACTGTGTGGTTCTTATCTTTACATATCCCAGTATGGCTGGAATCCTGCTGATTTTATGTCCATTTTTCTCATTGAAAAAATTATCCCCATAAAATATCCTTTGGGTTTTTATATCAGCTCAGGAGCTAAGAGCTTCCACCTGAATGTGAATGACCACGTTTTCAGAAATTCTGACAAAGTCTCATTTCATTCTGGAAAAGTCAAAGCGGGACATTTTCACCATGGGAGATTTTCTCCTGCGAAGTAAGCAGTTGCTCATCCTAGAGTCAAAATGAAGGACCCAGCAGCCCTGGGCTTCAGTTTCCACTAACAGAATTGATAGACCTGAAAGGGATCTGGGGATTCTCTAACTCCAAGTGTGGGCTGCTGAGCAGCAGCGTCAGCAGCATGTGGGAATTTGTTAGAAATGCAAATTCTCTGGTCACCTTCCAGATCTACTGCATGCGAAATTCTGAGGGTAGAGCACATGTGTGTAAACCAGCTCTTCTAGTGATTCTAATGCATAGGCACCACTGAGGATACTTTGAAATGAGGAATTGGGGTTAAATCATTGGTTCTCAACCCTGGCTGTACATGAGAATTCTTGGGGAACTTTTAAAACCCTAGTGATCCACTGGTCCCACCCCTGAACTTCTTATTTGCTCTAAGAGGAGCCCAGGAATGTTAGCGTTTTTGGTTTGTCTCTTTTTGGTTTGTCTCTCAGGGGATTCTTACATGCAGCCAAATCTGAAAGCCACCGATCGAACACAATCCCTAATTTCTAGCAGCAGATGCTGACACCCAGGATGTGCCAGGGTCCTGGGGGGTAGTGGTGGTTAGGATGACAGAGCTGCGAGAAGTACCCAAGTGCCCCGACTTTCGGGTCAGATGTTGGTGTGCTTGGCTGCCTGCCCTCACAAGCCTCCCCAAATCCACAGATTGCATTTATAGTCTTTGTTCTAGTCCCTGAGCCTGGCTGGGTAGGGAGTTGAGCAGACAGAACTTCCAGAATTTCCATTTCACATCTTCAACTCCACTGCATGGGTTCCTCTGCTCAGCACGTGCAGCCCTCAGCCCTGCTTGTTACCCTGCTCCAGCCCCTGTTTTCCTTTGGCATTAGGTCTTGCTTTGGTATCTTACATTAAAAATAAAATAATTTGTTTGGTACACTATTTATTTTTATTTTTACTAAAAAATGAAACATGGTAAAATAAAGTAAGTAACATCCCTCGGACAAAATGTACAACGTATTTCCACCGAAAGTTGGAAATGTGACACTAGGATTTTGATGATTCTTAGAAGTCTTATTTGAAAGTGAATTTGAGGGTGGGAGTGAGCAAGATAAATGGGTAGGTTTCTTTATTTATTTAACAAGCCTGATTGAGGTTCCTAAGGAGTTCTGGTGGTGTCGTGGTTACAAGTTGGGCTGCTAACCACAAGGCCAGCAGTTCTAAACCACCAGCTGCTCTGTGGGAGAAAGGCAGGCTTTTTACGTCCATAAAGAGTTTGTCTCAGAAACTCACAGGGGAAGTTCTGTCCTGTCGTATAGGGTTGCTATGCGTCAGCATCGATTTGATGGCAGTGAGTTTGGTTTGATTTTTAATGAAATTCTTACAGAGAGAAATGTCTCACCCCGCCTCATACACCCTGGTGTTTTTTTGTAGGGGTGTTCAGGTGGAATCACTTAGCAGAAATCTGCCAGGTTAAGAGAAAGCCATGGTTCTGTTAAATCCAGTGCATTGTGAACATTTGAGGACATCTTCTGCACCCTTTATAATTGGTCCAGAGATCCTGACCTCTTTTTTTTAATAGTTTTATTGAGGTATAATTAAAATATCATACAATTCAATAGTTCAATCCTATTAAGAAGGGTTTGCCATCATCACCACAATCCACCTTGGGACCCTTTTTTCCTTATTGTACCCATTGCTGTTGACTCCACATCCCACCCCTTCGATGCCCCCTTAATTATTAGTCCAGCTACTGTCTTCATGGATCCAGCCATTCTGACTTCCCTATACAGAAAAATATACAAAACAGAGACAACACAAAAGCTAAAAAGGACCCAGCAAGAATGACCAAAGAAAACAAAGAAAAACCTCAATCAAAAAGGAATCGGAAAATATTAAAAAACAAGAAAAAATCCAAAACGAGTCAAAAGGGAGACCTGAAGAGTGTTACATTTCAACCTCACTAAACTGCTGCAATCGGCATTGCAGTGCCCTTTGTGTGATAGTCATGCGCTGTGCAGTCCTACGCTGTGGTTAGTAGGAATTCACTGGAGACTCAGTCCACAGAGGGTACTGCAAATGATTTTGGGCTTCCACTATCCATAGTATTCCACAAACTGGGTGCTTAGAATTGAGGATCTGGTATGGTTCCCTCTGGGTTTGGATTTTATTATTTACAATCCTTGGATCACACAGGCTGTTGTGTTTCTTCCATGTGAACTTAACTGACTTTTCACTTAGATGACTGCTTGTTTTGTGACCCCATGTGCTATTCTTTCAGATAGCCAGGTACCATTTGATTTCTTCCCCTCACTTTGCTATAACACCCTTATGTTCAGTGATGTCCTCATGAGGGCAAGAACCGACAAGAACTAATTGTTTTTATATTAGGGTCATGATCAAGGGAAAGCTCAAAATCCATTAATTTATCGTATGTCCCTGGTTCACTTTAGAGACGTCATAATCTTTCTCTATGGGGCATAAAGATAGACTGGTCTTAAACACCGATCTCAACGGTAACCTATTGTTGCAGAGCCCATTCTGACTCATGAGGCCCCATATGCTCCCGGAAAGAACTGTTTATGCTTTTAAGGCCCCTATACTGTTTAAAATCAGGTTGCTGGCCTGTCCTTTGCAGAGCCAATGGGTGGGTTTGAACCACTAACCTTTAGGCTAATCGTGGAGTGCATTGTTGCTACTCTTGTCTCAACGGTGTTTGTGTTTTATTTCTCAGGGGGAAGCACAGGCACATCCCCAACCACCTCCAGCACTGGGACACCGTCCCCTTCAGCCTCTTCTCATCTTTTATCTCCATCCTGTTCTCCGCCAACCTTTCATTTGGCCCCCAACACTTTCAACGTGGGCTGTCGAGAGAGCCAGCTGTGTAATCTAAACCTCTCTGATTACCCACCCTGTGCCCGAAGCAACATGGCTGCCTTGCAGAGTTACCCCGGGCTGAGTGACAGTGGTTACAATAGGCTGCAGAGTGGCACCGCTTCAGCAACTCAGCCCACGGAAACCTTCATGCCTCAGAGGACTCCATCCCTGATCTCAGGAATACCAACTCCTCCCTCGTTGCCTAGCAACAGCAAGATGGAAGCCTACGGTGGTCAGCTGGGGTCCTTCCCCACTTCCCAGTTTCAGTATGTCATGCAGGCAGGCAATGCAGCTTCCAGCGCCTCATCCCCACACATGTTCGGGGGCGGCCACATGCAGCAGAGCTCCTACAATGCCTTCTCACTTCATAACCCCTACAACCTGTATGGCTACAACTTCCCCACCTCCCCTAGGCTAGCTGCGAGCCCAGAAAAACTGAGCGCCTCTCAAAGCACTTTACTCTGTTCTTCTCCTTCCAATGGAGCCTTCGGCGAGAGGCAGTACCTGCCCACGGGGATGGAGCACAGCATGCACATGATTAGCCCTTCGCCCAATAACCAGCAGGCAACCAACGCCTGCGATGGCCGGCAGTATGGGGCGGTTCCAGGCTCCTCCTCCCAGATGTCCGTGCACATGGTTTAATGGCCAGTCAGACACCACAGAGCCCATGGCACCCAAGGCCCAGAGTCTCCTTGGGCATAGCCTCATCTTTGGGAACTCTTCGAAACCCGGGAACTGTTCTTTTTACTTTGAGGAATGCATCGTAGAGAGCCAAGAGACATGTTAAAGCCACTGAAGGATACTTGTGGTGGAATCATCTCCAACTCAGTGGCCATTCTTCTGCCACCCCAAACCTAGCTTTATAAAGCATCATCTACTCCAGAGTGGGCTTTGAAGAGACTGCATAATCATTTTTTAATAATGTTAAAGGAGATGCTAGAGTGTAGCAGCCATGACAAGTCACATACACACACACACACACACACACACACACACACCCCTTTGCATACATACATACACAACATATATTCACACACACACACGCACACTGATTCTGAACTGGGTGAACTCTTTGCAAGGGAGACCCAGAATGGGTGCTTTCACCAAGAATTTGTCTATGCACAACGGTCAGCTGTCGCTACCAGCCTTTCTCCTCCGCAGCTTCTGGAATGAAGCGTGTGAGCGGGAGCCTCTTCCCATTGATGAAGGTGGAAAGGCATCAGTACAGCAACTGGACTTGACTTCCTGAACAAGACCGCTTTTCACAGTGGCCTCTTCCTCCAGCATGCCACGGCAGTGGTGTTCCCTGAGAGTGAGAGCAGACGAGCAGGACAGAGACAGACAGACAAAGAGCAGAGAGCCCGAGAGACGTGGAGAGCAAGACTGAGAGAGAAGGTGTGAGCAATGGCGGGAGTTTCGATTCACCAAGGAGATTTGCTTTTGTTTTTGTTTGGTTTGTTTTTATTTTCCCCTACAGGTTATTATAGAAGGAATCATGGTGTTACTGAGAATGAAACCTCTTTGGGACTTTGTTGCGTGTGGCCTTCGGCACAGGGGTGCATGGCTGGGTACTGGTGAGAGGGATTGGGGCAAGGAGTTCATCTGGATTCCACTGCTCTGATCACTGTGATCCAGAAGACAGGGGTACCACAGGGAATCCCCAGTCCACAGCATGCAGCTCTGCACGGGAAGGGGAGGAGAAGGAGTGGGAAGCAGTGGGAAGCAGGGAGAGTGTTGTAGTTCCCATAGATAATACCGAGCGCAGGGGTGACAAATAGGAGCCAGGCCTGGATTCCCTGGCCACTGGGGTCCCTGTGGCAGGAGAAATCCCTTCCTATTCCAGAGAATTGTGCATGGGCCTTCTAGAGCCTTCCATCTGCCCTTAGAGCTCTGTGTTTATCTAATAGCTCAGTGCATTTTGAAGTTTTGAGGTTTTTTTTTTCTTTTTCCTTCTTCTTCCCCTTCAGATATTTTAATGGTAAGCAAACAAGTGAAGCTTGGTGCAAGCTCAACTTTTTAAGTGGTGTGGAAATGAAAATAATACCAAGTGAAATAATACAGATATTATTAAGATGTTTGGGTTTGAGGTGTTGTAGATAAATGTATTTATGTGCCTAGTAGGGAATCCAGTATTATGACTATTAAAAAAACGGGGCAATAAAAAGGGTATGTAAAATATGTATGAAGAAAAGGTGTATAAAAATCTGCCCTTCTGCACGGAACTCTGTTTCAAAGTGCCAAGCACAGAAAGCCGCTAAATAAAATCTTTGCAATTGTTCCCTGTGTGTTTGTTAAGACAGAGGAAACAGCAAACCAGACTCCAGCCACCCAGTGCGTTTGTCTCATACTCTCTGGTGTGCTCTCACGTCCCCGTCTCTGCTTCACTCGATTCTTTATTCAGACCCCTGAAGGAAACACTGTCGTTCTGTTTCCGGTTAGTAAGTAGCCCAGCTCCCCAGAGACCCACTGAATTACCCAGGTTTGTACAGACGGTTGAAGGGAAGTAGGTCTTGTCACCAAGTCTCTGACACTTGTGGGGTTTTCACTTTCACATTACCAGCAGGAAACTATGAGTCGAATAGTAATCTTCGATGACGTTATTTGTACGACAGAAGAAACTGCTTCCTGGTCCTGTCATCTTTAGGATTATAGGCATGCCCGATCTCATTGTTTCAGCACTGTGTATTTTGACTGCCTTCCAACCTAGGGCCTTCATTTTCTAGCACTCTATCAGATAGGATTCGACTGTCACCCGTAAGGTTTTTATTGAATACATTTTGGAAGTAGGTTACCAGGCCTTTCTTCCTAATCTGTCTTCATTTGGAAGCTCTGCTGAAACCTGGTCTCCATGGGTGACCCTGCTGTTACCTGTATCATTAGTGGTACAGCTTCCAGTATCTTAGCTGCTTGCCAGCCACCGCAGTACAACAAGCTAACGGACAAATGGTGGTCAGAGACTGTACCACGTCCTTTGTGGGATGACTTACCTGTTACTGTTGTTGTTAGGCGCCACTGAGTTGGTTCCAATCCATGGCAGTCTTTGCAAAACAGACTGAAACATGGCACGGTCCGGAGCCATCCTTACAATTGTCCCTCTGCTTGGGCCCATTATTGCAGCCCCTGGGTCCACCCATCTCATCGAGGCCCTTCCACTTGCCCACCGCCCCTCTACTTTACCCAGCATGATGTCCTTCTCCAGGGCCTGGTCTCTCCTGACAACGTGTCCCAAGTATGGAAGATGAAGTCTCGCCACCCTTGCCTCTTAGAAGCACTCTGGCTTTGCTTCTTCCAAGACAGATTTGTTTGTGCTTTTAGCAGTCCATGGTACTTTCAATGTTTTTCTCCAGCACCACGGTTCAAATGCATTCGTTCTTCAATTTTCCTTCTTCACTGGACACTGAATAAAGGAGTTTATATTATCTAATCCTCCATCAGCCTGGGAGATAGGTAGTACTATTGTTACCACTCTACAGATCAGAAAATAAGGTTAAAAAAAAAAGGCTAACTACATTTGACTAGGGCTCTCAGAAAGTTATAGGGCTGCTTGTGTAATTTCCCAAACAAGTGAAATTATGGCATTCCACTGAAGTCACTGCAGTTTCTAGAGCTACTTGAACAACCAGGAATGGTTATTCCAAATCAGCTCAAGGGGTGTAGAATAGAGTGTCTCTGAATTGTCGCGTTTTATTGTAAACACATATCCTTCCCCTTGGATGAACCACCGCATTATGTGGTTCACCAAATGCCCATTTAACAGTAAACGAATAAAGATTCTATAGGGCTATACCATTTGCAAACATTTCATATGTTATCTCATTTGAACCTCATGAGAAGTGAGCAGGGCATTGCTATGTGACCGGAGAACTGGGATTGTAATGGGTCCTGTGTGGCGGGGAAGCAAGAGAGCCAAGACTAGAAATATGCTCTGACCCCTGGTCCACACTGTCTCTTCTCGGGGAGTTACACTGGGAGCCCACTGACTCCCATTTGGGGTTCAAGTTAGCCATTGCCACATTCGTTCTTTGGAAATGGAGATTAGCTTGGAAGAGAAAAAATAACCTTAATTGTTGCTTTAGATTTATAACTAATTCCAAGGAGCATCGTGACAAGTTAATTACAGCAGCCATCAAATTATTGCCAAGTTCACTAGGATGGTTAATAATTCTCTGAAATGTAGGCTCTTTGGGCACAGAGGTCTCAAAATTTTTTTTAAATAGAGATGCTCATATACAGTATATCTCAAGTACATAATGGTACGGTGTAAGCAATCTCATGAAATTGCTTCTGATTGCTTCTGATTTAGCAGCATATTGGACATCATTCTTTGGTTTAACGCCCTTTGAAGTTCTGAGGTAATAGATCATAACATGCAAAACAATGTATTAACATAATAGTAAGAAGATTGCTATCAGTAATCACTTGGAGTATTAAATAGTGACAATTTTTGTTAATTGGTCAGACATTATAATGACTCAGGTCATTTACATCTGAATTATTATTACATCTGTTTATGAACCAAAGAAGGTTAAAAAAAAAGTTTCTTTGAACATTAACTGGTTAAAGCACTGTAACTCAATTCTTTTTAATGAAATGGGAACATTTGTTGTAACAAAATTCATTACACAAAAGGCTATTTACTGAAAGACTTAATATTCTATAGATTAACCTGCTCCACTCTCATTCATGCCCCGTGAAGAAAATCTGTCTTGTTCAGCTTTGCAGTCTCAGTGGTCACGATAGTTCCTGGCCCCCTTTTCATAGACTCTCAAGATATATTCATTCTCATTCTAGAAATTATCTACCAAACCGATTTTCAAGCATAGTGCAGCAGGTTGCATGACTGAGTGCACATTTCTTCTAAATGAATGGAAGCTGAAAGCTTTATTGTGATTTACACAACATTTTGTGATAGGTTAATGTAAATCCAGATAGCAGCTAGAAAGTGATCGTTATGTATAATGGAAGGATAAAGAAGAATAGCACAGTTTCTTCTTTGGAAGGGTTCACTTTTCAGGCAGTCATGAAAATATATTGCTCCAAGTGTTTCAGGGCATACATGCACACTTTTATTAGAACGAATCCTGTTTAAACACGTCTTTACAATCAGTGGATGGCTGCAGGCAAGTTTTCTTTAAAAAAATGTAATTAATTAAATTAGAAAATCATTTTATTGGAGGTTCAGACAATTCTTATCACAATCCAAACATATATTCATTGTTTCAAGCACATTTGTACATTTGTTGTCATCATCATTCTCAAAACATTTGCCTTCTACTTGAGCTCTTAATATCAGCTCCTCATTTTTCTCCCCTCCTTCCTACTTCCCCTCCCTCAAGAATCCTTCATAATTCATAAATTATTATTATTTTGTCATATGTTACACTGTCTGATGTCTCCCCTCGCCCACTTCTCTGTTGTCCATCCCCCAGGGAGGAGGTTATACGTAGATTCTTGTAATCGGTTCCCCCTTTCCACCCCACATTCCTTCCACCCTCCAGGCATCGCCACTCTCACCACTGATCCTGAAGGGGTTATCTGTCCTGGATTCCAGTTGCTATCTGTACCAATGTACATCCTCTGGTCTAGATCACTGAAGACAAACGTGTGCATAAGCAAATGTGGTGAAGAAAGCTGATGGTGCT